AAAAAAAAAACGGATGTATTGCATTACAAAAAAGATAAAAAAAAAAGATTATGTCATCTCGTTATTATTATATTATATTATATTATAGTATTACCTTTTGACAATGCATTTATTTAGGATACAAGTGACACAACACGTAATTCAGCAGAACCAATTAAAACATAGCATCTAAAAAGATGACTAGACCCCTTGCACCCATCTATCTACTCTAGGTTTAATTAATTGACGACTACTCAACTAGTAATTTCAATCCTGATTTATGCCTGGTTTCATAATCTGATCTCCTAATTAATTAAGTCTATAAATCTTAATCAAGCTGGTGCATTTTTTTTATCGTTAATGATTCTTTTAATCGTTGTTTACGGTGTGCACTGAAAAGCCTACATGGATGTGATCACTGATTTGAAGTTTCTAATTGCTATAACAAAGAATAAAATAATCAATTAAACTGTTAACATGGCAATAATACGAAGAGTTTATTAAAATTTGTGAGTTTCAATAATAGTCGTTATTCAAGTTTCAAATACTTCAATTGGGATAAGAATGAATTTAATAAACGGTGATTAAATATTAAAAAATGAAGATATTGGCCCCACTTCCGATTGGTTTCGCGGTTTTCATGGTCCACCTGGCGACAATCCCCATAACCGGCACCGGCATAAACCCTGCTCGGAGTTTCGGCGCCGCCGTGATCTACAACAAGGACAAGGCCTGGGACGACCACTGGATTTTCTGGGTCGGCCCTTTTGTCGGAGCAGCAATCGCCGCCTTCTACCACCAATACATTCTCCGAGCAGCCGCCATTAAAGCCCTCGGATCTTTCCGAAGCAACGCCTGAAAATTAAACAATTGATTTTCGGCCGTTAAATCAATAACTGTACATATTTGATTTCTTCTCTGTTGTCTCGTCTTTATTTTTCGTGCCTTTATTTGATGGGTTTTCCTTTTTCTTTTTTTTTTTCCGAAATAAATATTGTTGCGTCTTTCTTTTTTCCTCAAGTGTGATGTGTTGTGTGTAAATTTGCCTTTGTAATGGTAATGATGTCTTTCATTTTGTTTGGGTTTTTGAGGCTTGATTGGATTTATCATCATATTTGGAGACAATGATTAGTATTTATTATTATTAGAATCTCATTTACTAAATACCGTATCTAAATTACTTTTACCGCACCCAAAAAAGACATAAATACCTTTATTAATATAAAAAAAAAAATCCAAAAAAAGAGGGACAAAACCAGTGTTCTAAAAGTCGCTAGGCGCACGCTAGGCGCTCGACCAATGGCTAGCGCCTAGAGCGCCTAGTCGGGGCCTAGGCGGCGCCTAGTCGGGGCCCAGAAATCAATAGTAAATACCTTATTTTTTATTTATTTTAACTACCTACAAAATAAGATTATCTCAACATATAATAAATTCACACACCAAAGTCCAAATAATAATATTAATATATATTAAAGAAAACATGAGAACAAAATAATGTAATTAGTATTTAAAATAATAAAAAAAAATTAAAAAATATATTGAAAAATTTCCGCCGAGCCCGCCTAGGAGCGCCTAAGTCCGCCTACGCCCGCCTAGACGCCGCCTAACCGCCTGGCCGCCGAGCCCGCCAAGGCCGCTTAGGAGCGCCTAGGGCCGCCTAGGCGCCGCCTAGCCGCCTGGCCGATTTTTT